CTCCGGCGCCATTGCATGCAAGCTGGCCGGAACCACAATCGGCGGTTACGCAAGAGAACTTGCCGGATTGGTCGGCGGAGCACTGTGTTCTTGCCCAGAAACGGCCTGTCCATGGAGCGGTAATGTCGAAAGAGGTCGATGCGCCGTGTGCCAATTCAAATCCGGTGGGAGTTTGCTGCGGCTTCCCACCACCGGTGAGTGTTGCCGGCCATATTGTGTACGGACAATTGTTGATGACTGTGAACTTAGTCGATTGAACGGCTCCTATCAAATTATTCATAAAATTAAAAGTACATTTTTGTCATTATGTACTATACCAAATGTAACATGCTAAACATGTACTCTTGTGATGGAGTATGTTGCATGGAAACGTAACACTAGCAAGCGTAACAAGAGACAATATCATATTGGAGCAAGTCAACTAGGCGATCCAAATAAAGGAGGGATGGTATTTAAATGTGTAATTTTTTGTAATCCACGATTATGACATGTGCCTTGATATATAATTCTTATGATTCATTGGAAACAATTATTAGAATTTTATTATTATTTGAACATTGAAATTTCGAGAGCGGTTAAAAAATAGTTAAAAAATGTGACGCAATTTAAACCATACCGAAGAGGAAGCTGGAGATGGTGGCAAAGGCGAGGAGGGAAAGAGGCAAGGAGTCCATTATGGTTATCTATAGTCTTGCTTTAGTCTTACTTTCAAATAACTTTTGTTGTAGTTGTTGATATTGAAAAAATGTATGAAATTGAAGTTAATGACTCCATCATTTATATAGAGGAAAAATACTTGGCAATTAATTACCATATCATCAATATCATTTGATTCCCATTCCAGAATCTTGTTTTATTAAAAGATTGTTTGCAAATTGCTACCAAATTAGTTACGGAGTATTATTTCCTATTATTTTTGTTTAAATATCTACTATTTTTGTTCCAATATAAAAAGGAATATCTTAGACTTACTATACACTACTAATGTTAAATCATCGACCAGACGATCCGTGATCAAAATATATTTAGTTTACTCTTTATTAATTAAGTATAAAATGCCAAATAATTATTATTATTTTCTTTTTAAAAGTCGAAACACACTATTTTTCAAAAAAATTGCATCAAATAAGGACTTATTTAATCCCTTTTATGCAACTTTGAGGATCAAACTGACCATTTACTCATCTTGAAATCATACTACCATGTTTTAGCATTATTAAATATTTATATGACGTTATTGATGTCATAATTGACAATATTTTCCAAACATGCTATAATTACTCTTTTTAGAGCAAATACATAACACTCCAGGCCTATTTAGAAAAATCACATTATTTTTACTCTTATAGGTAACTTCTATAGGTAATAATAGCTCAATCTAAGTGGGACACTTTTTTCGGAAAAGAGTTACACATAAGTTTGAAGAATGTTGTAAAAGAGATACAAATAAGAGAATCAAATAATAGCATTTATTTGATGCACTTAAAATATAATTAATTAAAATGCACAATAGCTAATATCTAACTCACAAAAATTGAAATATGTTAAAAATATATAAAAATATGGTGAATATTAACAATATAGAAAACGAAAAAGCAAAAGAATGTTGAAAATTACCTGGTGAATACTAGAAATATTAGTAAGGTATTTTGTAGCAAATTATCATATAAATAACAACGGTTGATCTGGAAAAGTACACTAAAATATTTGAAAGGCTTACTCTTTTCTTTCCTAAGTTCGACAACACGTATTAACTGCTATGTTGATTACCAAAAACTGAAAACAAATGGTGATACTAAAATAACCTTGGCTTTTCATCATATCATCATAGTGTATATTTGGATAGTTGAGATGTCTTCTCAATTTATTAATGAGCAATACATACATCTCTCTCTTTATTTGAAGAGTTTTATATGTTTTTGATAAGGATTTTTTCACAACGTTAAGACGAGTGTCTAGATATAGACATAACGATTGACATTGTTGTGAAATATTACTAAAATTATATTAAACCTTGGAAAGAATTGAAAGAGAGAGAGAAATATGAATGATTTGTTTTTCTATCTCTACCTTTCTCATGTCACATGCGCACCGTGCATATTATTGCATTGGAGATGCTCTTAAAAGAATGTGAAATTTCAAAAAGATAAAACCATTTTTATTTTCTAAATTGGAATAATTATTGTCATACTAGAAAAATAGTCCTAATTTTGGAAACAATATTGTGTAAGGTATGTATGTTTGGTAATGCGAAAAGTCGATTGTAAAATCTAAAGATGACAATAATTTGTATTTATAAAATAAAAACTTATTGACGTAGGTTTTGGAACTTCTATTGCTTTGAATTCTTAGGTTCGAACGGGTTTTGGCAGCGGTATAGCTTGGCCAGTGGCTCGGCTTATTTGTTGAGCAGGGTAGTGTAGGGATTCTCTTCGTACAAAGCTTCTGTATAGCGATTGTACTTCGCTCGAATCGGATTGAGCAGGATTACTTTGGACGATCATGTGGTGCAGTGCAGATGTAGCTTGCTTCAAACTGTGCGAGTTTGTGCAGTATTTTGACCAGGAGATGGAGGCAATCCACGGGCAGAACGAGGTGGAGATGTAGACTCATGCTTACGACACAATGGAGATGGGTGAAGACGATGAGATTCTATTGGTGGAAGCCACAGATCTTGGCGTGGCGGATGTGGGGCTAGCGCTTGAATGGGGACCATCACATCAGAAAATATGTATGTTTCTCTACTTTCCGAGATACTATGGCATCCATGTGGGAACCTGTTAAAGTTGTAACTGTAACGGAATCGGGGGCTAGACACTATATGTTTCAGTTTTATAACAAGAATGATATGTTTCGTATTTTGGAGGAAGGTCCTTGGATATATGATAAAAATCTTATTCTGTATAAGTTTGAGGAAGGGGATTTACCTATAATTGTTCCGCTGAATAGAGCTGAGTTTTGGATACGGGTTCATGGACATTCAGATAGGCTATTTTACTATGAACAATGCTGTGAAAATTGGAATTTTTTAGAGAGATTCATTAAGGTTGATGAATATAATTTTTCTGTTAAATGGAACCCCTTTATGAGAATAAGAGTTAGTTTGGATTTAAGTAGACCCTTGAGAAGGAAAATGTTCCTGCAAAAAGAATAAGGAATTGAAACTGTTCAATTCCTGCAAAAAGAATAATGAGAAATTTCCTAGTTTTAGCTTCTTGTGTGCCATCATTGGACATTTTGAGAAGTATTGTCCTCGCAATCCTGAGGGAGGCGTGAAGTTAGGGGGAAAACCTTTCGGGCCTAGGCTTAGAGCTACAAAAGGGACTGTAGAGGCCGGAGGAAACAAGTGGTTATTCCGGGCTGATAAGGGGCAGATCCAAAGCAATAAGGGGGCAGCGGCTAAGTCAGATTTAGAAGGACAGAGCGGTATGGTTACAGAAAGGGTACATGTGCATGCATGAGACAAAATAGAGAAAAATCGCAGGAGAGCATATCGATCAAGAAGAGGATGAGCCAGTTAGTAATATCATGGATGAGCCAGTCAGTAATATCATGGAGGTGGAACCGAGGGTGTCGAGAAGGAGGCGAGTTGCAGCTTTGTGGCTCGCCTGACACATTGTTGAAGATCCCGCAAAAGTATCAGAATAAGGGTAAAGCGGAGAAGTTTCACCGAATGATCTCTAGTTATTCATGTTTAATTATATTAATTTGGTTTCTTAAGTACTTTACTCTTATTGTTGTTATTGACTCTTGGGGGTGGTAGGTTGGTCTTGGTTTTTAATTCACTAGTTAATAATTTCTATGGAAACAATCAGACTGTTTTGGCTGATTAGCCTCGCTTATTTTTGGGTGATCTATTCTATGTCTGATCCAAAAGTGAGTGGGCCTGTTGGCTTTAAGGAGTCTAGAAGGTGTGTTTGGTCTATTGGTGTTGATGAGATGATGATTTATTCCAATCAATTCTAAATCAGACCATTCTAAATCAATATTAAAGCATACATAAAACAAATTTTTATGAGACCAATATATATCAAACTATATTGGTCAAATCAGACATAAACGAATAAAATTAAATAAAAAACATGAGACATATCCCTCAATTCGGAGTGTAAAGCATGTTAAAAATGTAAAAATAGAAGTTGATGTTTAAAATTTTCTAAATAGGAAACCTCATTAATGATTGAATAAAATTTTCTAAATTGGAAACCTCATTAATGATTGAATAAAATTACTCCTACGTGGATTGCGGATTAGCCATCGAGCTGCCATTAACCGTCATGGCATTGCGGCTCCCACTAAATTGTTCTAATTATTCAGAGAGAATTAGAGACAATTAATTATATTAAGAATATAAAAGTAATACACAATTGCGTATGTAGAAAATATAAAACATGAATTCGTGTTTATATGTTTAGCTTATACGACCATGTTTTACTTTAAAAAAAAACGTCCTTTTGTTATACTTCATGTGTATCTTATACTATCTCCTTTGCTCTTTAATAAATGTAGCATTTGAATTTTACATTATACACATATTCTATTTTGACTACATTTTTCTTATTAATGTATCAATAATTTTTTTAAAATAAATTGCTGTTAAATTTGTCTCATTACAAATTTCTCAAAATCACATTTTTAATTTTGTATTAATAGGGAATAATATATATTATGATCAAATTTGTGTGAAAGTAGGTGGTATTTATTTAAGAATTGATGAGGTCATGGTTATCCATAATCGGTTCAACCGGCGGAATCGGCGCCGATGTTATACTTGGTACGTGTGAAATATGAACGCCACGCAGAGCATAGCCTACAGGCCGGCCGACTGAAAAGCCGGCACCCAAATAATCAACCCATTTCCACTGAAACGCCTGCTCGCCACGTTATCTTCCATAATCACACTCTTCCTCCGGTCAATCTTCTCTTTGACCACGCACTGGCCCATATCTCCCCCGCTATATAACCTCTTACACTCATATTCTCTCCGCCCACCATCATTATATATATCCTCTTTTACATTTCCTTATATGGCTCTCGAAGGGCAACTCGCCGGCGGCGGTAACGGCGGACGCAGAAATGCAAGAGGCGCTAAGGAGGTGCACTTCAGGGGTGTGCGGAAGAGGCCGTGGGGACGTTTCGCCGCCGAAATCCGAGACCCGGGAAAGAAAACCCGGGTCTGGTTGGGCACCTTCGACACCGCGGAGGAGGCGGCGAGGGCTTACGACGCCGCCGCGAGGGCCTTCCGCGGAGCTAAGGCGAAGACCAACTTCCCCTTCCCGTCGGGAAAGAGCAACCCAACCCACACCAGCACGTTGGAGTGTTTCTCAACTGGCAGTGGCGTTCACGCGCCCCGTCCACCCCCAAAGCTTGAACTCACGCGCCGCCCTTGCGCCGGAGGCAGTATTGTCGGTGCACCGATGAATGACCCGCACTATTTCGCCCGTAGACAGCCGGCTCATGTGGCGTTCCTGTCAAATGGTCAACCGGTTTTGGTCTATCACGGACTGTGGGCACCCGGGGTGGTCAACCACGGGCTGGCGTACTGCTTCCAGCCGCCGGCTGTTATATCTGCCAAATGCGGAGAGAGCGGCGGCGCTCACAGCTTCTCAGACTCGTCTTCCGCGGTGGATGACAGCAATGTTGACGGCGGCCTTTTCAAGAACGGTCTTGACCTTACTCTTAACCTTGCTCCACCCACATAAAATTAGAACGTGTTCTCGTGACCTGATCTCTGAATGTTTTTTATCTGAATTTTTTAAGTTCAAATCAATTTGCGTTCGTGAATCTGCTAGTTGTTTCATTATTTTGTAATCTCTAGTTTAGTAATGTAGTACATAAAAATGAATTTAGTCATCTACTGATCTACCCAAAAAAGTTCTCATATTCTGAAAAACATCAAATGGTTAGAATTTGAAAAAACGTTCGTTGAGTCAATTAGAAGGTTAGCTATCATGTTAATTTGTCACCCGCTAATGCGATGCACACGTGATGATCCACGTGTGTGCCACGCCTCGGAAAATGGTAGATTAGATGTCCACATGTACGCCATGTAACCAAAGTCAATGTACGTTGACTGGACTGTTACATGTGTGACACGTCAGCAGATGACCTCACATGGCAGGAAATCTGCTAATGGATTCAGTTAAATGTTTTTCAAAGTTTGAGAATTTGATTAATTGTTTTTAAAAGTACAAGAACTTAATTGACACTTTCCCAAGGATCAAATAGGTAATTTTCCCAAATCAATATAATCGTGTAACAATAGATGATATTGTAAGTTTTTATTGGAACTAATTATTTTTTGTTGTCTCGAAATTACTGTCATTATCTAAGTTAAGTTTTACATTTTTAAATAAATTGGAAGCTAAGTGGTATGTTCAATATGGATGAAATACATTTGATATACTCTATATTATTTTAATTTTTTGAGAAAAAAATAGTTTATATTGAAATAATAAAATTCAACCATATTAAACAGCATCAAGCTAAGGCCAGACATACACTACAACATTTCAACTCCTAATGTATAACCCAAAAGTGTTACAATATCACTTAAAAGTTTTACATTAGAGAAAATGTAACACTTTCTTACCATTACATTTGCTCATGTTGCATTAGACCTATTGTAACTCTTTATAGTCCATAATGTAACATTTATACTTCTAGAAAGTGCTACATTATGTCTAAAAAGTGTTACATTAGAGAAATACAGGGGCGTAGCTAGGATTGAAGGTTGGGCTGGGCCGGTACAAAGAATTTTTCAGATAATTTTTTTTGACACAAAATTTTAGACTAAAAATACAAAGAATTTTCAAATTTGGGGCGGGCCGTGGCCCGGTTGGCCACCCCTCTAGCTCTGCCCCTGGAGAAATATGTAATACTTTTATAGATATGTTACATGTTTAATGTTACGCTAGGTCTAAAATTGTAGTGGTGATAGGAGACAAGCAAGAAAGCTCAGAAAACATTACTTGATAATAAGATATGAAATCATATTGAGAAACTACCACCAACTCAGGCGCAATAGGATTCGTTAATCCCCACTTGGGCAATAGTAAGCCAATCATGATCGACCGTGTATTTTCGTCACTTATCTTATGTGGTACCTGTCATGTGCCGAGTAAAAATGAAACAAGAGTCACTCTCGATAAACATAATCCAAACAACTTAAAGGAAAACACAAAAATAAAAATAGAGTACTTTAAAGAAAAAACTTGCAAAGGAGACCCAGATGTGACTAAATATCTAGGCCCACATCTTCCACGTTTTTTGACGCATCCACCGCCATGGCGCCATATCCCTTGCAAGCATATCTTCCATATCTGGATTTTCTGTAACTTGCCCTCTCTTCGACTCACCCATTGTCTTATCAACTTTGCCTGCACGCGCTATATGTGGAGACACCCCTATGATTGGTCCAACTGAACCAAACTAATCGAACTAATTAAAATTGGATTTTTTTTTTGCTAACAATTAAATATTAATCGTAATACTATCTCCGTCCTGTTTAAAGATTCTTAATATAAAATGACACATTTATTTCGATTTAATTAAATAAGATTATTCAAGTATATTTTGATGGATTTGTAATATAATAGGGTCATTCAAGATAATTGTGACGTTATAGATGTATTATTTTTAATATTTGATAATTAAATTATCACTAAGAGTGTTAATTGCTTCTTGATATATAAACGAGAATCTTTACATGGGACGTTCAAATGTGACGTTATAGATGTATTATTTTTAATATTTGATAATTAAATTATCACTAAGAGTGTTAATTGCTTCTTGATATATAAACGAGAATCTTTACATGGGACGTTCAAAAAAGTGGGATCCTTATAATCGCATGAGGGAGTATCATTATAGTCTTAATTTGTTTTTGCTACAAAATTCATTTTGGGTTATGTTTAGTTTAATTTATAAATGCATTTACATATTCATATCTTATAATAATGTAAATATATTGACATATGATTTCTTTTATGTATGTATTTAGCAATTCGTTACATTATGGTGACCTGTTTATGCTAGTTATTACTAGTAACTTTTATTCTGATGTAACTTAAAGCTTTTATATTGATAAAACAAATAAATATTCATCTCAATTATACCTCATAGAGTGTATATTTCGTGAACTTTTTCATGCTAGTCACAAAAATGTAAATTAAGATTTAAGCATATATGCATTTTTGTTCATGATGTGAGTTTTGTCGCACTAATAAAATTGTAGTAGTAAAGCGTTTCAGTACGAGTATTATCTCCACAGGGACGGAAAAGGGGAATCATGAATTAACTAAATTCATCATTTAAAATAAATAAATAAAATGCAATTGTGTGAGATTTGAATTTTTGGGAAATTAAAATGCGAATAAGCGACTAAATTAAAAGAGTTCTTTCTAATTAATGACGGAAGCGAACATGGATTGATCCTGGGGTAATCAGATTTTGGGGCTGATCAGACTTAAGATGTTTTCTTTTGGACTGTTTTCAGTCCCAGATCAGACTAGACCTGACCTGACTTCCGTAGTTATAAAATACACAGAGACCAGACGCTTACCAGATCAGACTAGCAAATTTCAGTCCAAAAGAGAAAACATCTTTAATCACATGAAAAATATTTAATTGAGCAACGCTGATCAATAGTAAGTTCTTACCGCTCTCACGGCATGGAGTACAATAATTTAGGGAACGAGGTTGATCTCTCATGCGACAAGTTTCTAAATTATTGCCAAAACGGGCGAGCGTACGACTCCATAACCGTTACTAATCTCTTAGTGAACGATTAAGTGTGTTCGAAAGTGTCCTAGAATAAATTAGACTTCTCCTAATTTATTCTATGTTCAATTATAATCCCAGCGGCCTTTCTAGGTTACAAAAGATATTAATTAGATCATTCAAACACAAATTAAATAAAAATCATGCAATTATTAATCCATCAAGAATTTAACCCTAGATCATGATTAATCATTTCTTCAATCCCAAATCTCTAATTAAAACTACTCACAATTCATAATTGAAGAATCAATCGAATTGGGAAAGAAAGAATTAATTGTCATTAATTCATGAAACTTACAAAATAGACAAAATAGGGCTGAGTTGGGGAAGAATGAATCCCAAAATCTTGATAAATCAAGGCTGAAAAGCTCTCGCAAATTCGTACTCGGGTTCTCTCTCTAAGCGACCATGCGGACACTCCTGCAGTTGGTTTTGAAACGTGAGGCATGCGGCTTCGTCCTAGGGGCGTGTGGTTCAGACTTTTGAACTTCATGCTCTCTGAATCGCCCGTGGGGCGAGCGGGTAAGGTGTGCGGACCTCTTTTGGACCGTTTTCTTGTTGTTTTCTTCCTCGTTCGTTTCCGATCGATCCTATATTCATTCTTTGACTTCTTTTGACTTTAAAAGTGTTCCTTAATCGTCTCGTGGGTCTCCAATGCCTCCAATCAACTCTCGAACACGTCTCAAATCTTTCCAAATTATTCTCCAACGCCAGTGCCGGGTTCAAAATCCTAATTTTCTCTTCTAAAAAGGGATAAGGCTAAAATTGGACACTATGGTTTTATGAGAATCTCGTATTGGACACTAAGTTTTCAAATGGACCAAATTGGACATTATGGTTACATATTTATCTGATATTGGAAACTGAAGTTTTATATTCATAGTTTGGACACTCACTTATGATTTTCATCCTCTTCCTTTAATAAAAGGGGGAATTTGACTTTGCACCCCATTTTTTGGATGATATTGGACTTTGCACCCCATTTTGAGAAAACTTTGACTTTGCACCACATTCCACTTCAAAATCCTTTGACTTTGCACCCCATTTAGAAAACTTTCTTCACAAAGTGTTATGTGTTGGGGTGCAAAATCAAAGTTTTTTCAAATTGGGGTGCAAAATCCAATATCACCCAAAAAGTGGGATGCAAACTCATTAGTCTTATATTTCTTTTCCTTTTCGGTGAAAATAAACTAATTTAATTACGTATATAATTTTAGAATATTTAATTTGAAGTTTTAGAATATATATTTGATTTTAATTAATAACTTCTTATAGTTAACAATTTAAAAATATGTTTAGGACTTTTCATTCATATGATTTTAATGGAACTTTTAGAAATGTCGATTTGTTAAATTGATTTAACAATATTAAAGAGTTCAATTACATTATAATAGATTTTCTTAATTGGAACTTCTAATTATATATTCTAAATTTAAGTACTTGAATTAAGTTATTTTTACTTTTACGTACATAAAACCAAGAGAAAAAGGAATACGTATAGATTTCAAGATGAAATTCTTTTGTGGGTGTCTGAAAATGATCAGAAAAAACGTAAAATTTGATCCATTTGAAACTTTAGTGTCCAATATAAGATACACAAGTAACCATAGTGTCCAATTTGATCTATTTAAAACCTTAATGTCCAATATGATATTCTCATATAAGCATAGTGTCCAATTTGACCCTTATCCCCTTCTAAAAAGAACAATCGCAGACCAAACACGGTAAAATGTGGTTTGAGCAAGTTAAACGCTTTGTGACTCATTAGATTAGAGAAAGTGGCGAAGCCCAATCCCAACATGCTTCAAATGCGTGTTGAAATATGAACTTATCAGTTCCAAAAATTACAACAAGTGTTAGTTTCTTCTCTCCCGCATACTCATATATTTCAATATTTCTTTTGGTATACAACAACAACAACAACATCCAAGCCTTAGTCCCAAAAGATATTGGGGTCGGCTTTCATTTTTGTAAAAGTAATGCAGAGTATTTGTGATCCCCCAACTAGCTATCATTTTAAATCAAATGACATTTTATTGTAAAAGAAACGAAAAACCTACCCGAAATTGAACTGTAACAAATTGAACCAATCAAAACATGAT